TACAATGGGTGATGTATGTTTAGAGGGACACATCTTTCTTACACACCCATAGGATCCCTGACAGTGAGGCCTGGACTTCCCAGTGTCAGGGCTGGATGGCAGGTTCCTCTCTCACTGTCATAGTATCCCCAAGTACAGCACTTCATAAAAGTGTAATACTATTAACAATGTTCCCCATAGAAGTCAACGGGAGCCACTGGGAACCAAAGTAGCCTCTAGGTGCATATAGGCTCTGACCTGAATGGCATTCCAGGGTTGCGAACCACCCTGAGATCTACTGGTATAGGGCAGTGTACAAAACAAATAAACAAATAAATCCTCGATCACGCCAAAGTGTGATTGAATGTTGGGAGTTGGTTTTTATGTACTCCATCACGATGATTTAGCCACGGAGACTATAATTCTACAGTAGTGGATGGTGTGAGCTGATTTCAAATGAATTACACCTACTCCTTCAATAACAACAATAACTTCAAAAACAAAGACCAACTTGGCTGTGAGTGCTGGAAGACTCACTCCCTACCTTACAGGCCTTTTCCCACTTGGCCTGGGTGGGCAGGGCCCGGACTGACTCCAGCTACAAAAGCTGAAGCTGCTGAACGGATTCTTGGGCTGGGGTACTGCTTTGGGGTTTTTGTTGAGGCCGGGGTTGTTGCTTGTGGAAATTGTTCAGTTTGGTTTAAGATTTATTTATTGTTTATGATTATTTTTGTAATGTTGCAGTTATGTATTCTTTTCATGTTTTAAGCCGCCTTGAGCATAGTTTGAGCTGTGGAAAGGTGGCAGACAAAGAAAATTATGTATGTATGTATGTATGTATGTATGTATGTATCTATGTATGTATTACTAGTTAGCCCCAAATCTAACAGCGCACTTGAGAGAATAAAAGGTTTGCATTGCATTTCTAAGAAGTGGGTAGAGGATGTCTTAGGAATACTGATGGATTTGTGTGGGTGATCCCTGGCTTTCAGAAGAAGATGCTCCACACCATTGTTTTACTCAATAATGCATCCTTCTCTCTCCCCCCATCATACTTTGTTTCATGCCCTCATGTTTATTATGTGTAAATAGGGATATTCTCCACACACCCCCACTCCCTAATGCCAATTATCTGGATGTGTTCAGTAAATGTAGCTGACATAAAGCATGAAAAATGTGTCAGCTGTCCCTCCGGACCCCTAGGAAAATGAAATGATGCTTCATCAACAAAGCCACCCTCCTGAGTGAAAAGGGGGAAGGAAAAGAAATAAAGGGAAGCAGACACAGAAGGATGCAAAGATCAAAGACGGAAAGCTTGCAAAGAACAAGTTTTTTTTCCCAAAAACAAAGGAAAGCATCTTACACTGATACTCAGTCTAGCACTTATGTTATTTGTGAAGGGAATGTTAAATATTATTGTAACCTTAAATTGAAGTGCTCTGAAGGAGGAAGGAGTTCCTTGGGGCTTGCTTGAAAAGGATTTCCAAGCATCTTCTAATGACAAGTCCAGTGTGACAACCTTTCAATGGGGTGGGAATTCCCCTAGGTGCCGTTTAGGCTGCATACAAACAAAATTTTATTTTATAATCAATGGTGACTGATTACTTTAAAAACAAAAACAAAAAAAAAACATTCCAGATCTCTTGCATATTTCCTCTCCCCCCAAAAAAGTGCTTCTAGAAAAATGGGTTTCATTAAAAAATCAAAGTTATTTGCAGATTGATTCTGCATTACTCCACAGTGTGTTCATTTGAAAACAGCTGCAGACAGAAGTAGGTGGTCCTGGCAATGGGGTGTGTCCATACCTGCCCTTGCCTTGGATGAGGGTGGTGCGAGCATCATGCATGCCTGAGACCCATAGACTGAGGAGGCCACTGGAAGGCAAGTGTAAAGTGTTGGGAATTCAAGCAGACTTAGGTGACTCAGTAGCATTTGGTCTATGATCCTCTGCACTTGGATGCCACCAATGAAGCTGGCCAGATGGAGGTGCTGCAACTACTGACTTGGTGGTTATTAGGTGCCACAAGGGGCCACCAAGTTTTCAGTAGCCCAATAAAAGCTTTAGACTCTGGACTGACCCATAGTCTGAGCAACTTCTCTTTGGTGTAACATACAAGCTACTATTCCCCTAAGCCTGCTTGCCAGCATACCAGCGTGCCAGCTTGCCTTCATAGTGTCTTCCTCATGGTGAAAAACTGTGAGCAGTTTTAGCTCAGCTCGAGATAGAAACCTGTGCTTAAACCAGCCATCCATCTCTTCTTACTGAGCAATATGAATTTGCACTGCTGTTTCCTTTAGAAAAAGAACATGCACTGCAAAAATATCAAAATACTGCTATTTCGAAATGTCAATGACTGTATTTTAGCACGCCTGGCAGTGGTTGTATTCCATGGTAGAGAGCAGCCTTCAGAAATCAACCGAACCTTTTGCAAAGCGGATGAAGAAATAAATTAGGCTGGCAGACACACTATAATACATTCAGAAACGTTGAGAAGCATTGCAGAGCCCTTGTTTACTAAAAGCACTATATTAATGTAAATGGTTATGATAATTGCTGAAAGCCTCCTGCATCTTTTAAACCTGCCACATGGAAAATTGGAAAACCAGGCATCTGGTTTTCAGCATCTATTTTTGGAAACAAATCAGGGAGGCATTTATTTGGCAAATAAATGCGAAATCACAGAGCCTGGCCGAATTCTAGCCTTCCTAATAGTATTCAGCCTCCTCTTAATTCTTTTTATTATTTCAAATGGATTCAAGTACTTTAATTTACCTTTGTTTTTTGTTTTCTTTCTTTCTCTTTCTTTCTTTCTTTCTTTCTTTTAAAAATAATAATCCTGTGGTGTGTGTGGTTTCACCCTGAGTAGCAAACATTGGCTAGGGGTGACAGCTCACATTATTTTTTAACAAAATGGAGACTGGTACTTCTGCCAGGGAAAAGAAAGAGAGAGAAAGAGAAGAAAACTTAAAAAATAAAATAAAAATTGCCATATGTGCCTTTTTTCTAAGAAGCATTTTGCTGGATCAGTCCAAGGATCTATCTATTTTGTTTTTAACAATGGCTAGCTAAAGTTCTTGTTGTTGATGATGATGGTGGTGAAAAATACCTGTTTCTACCCCACCCTTTGCACAAAGGATAACCAGAGCAACTTACATCAATGAGAAAGAACAATACATTTTAAAGTCATTTCAATGCAAAATACATAAAAAAACCTAATGCAATTTGAAGGATGTAATCAAATTAAAAATCCATTTGAAACAGCTGCATACAGGCTACATTTTTCATTTTTTCCCCTTTAAAATGGGGGAGGTATTTCAGAATCAGGGTGCACCCACTTTCCCAATAGCCCTAGATGATGGCTGTAATCAGATAGATGGACCCAGACAGCCCTTGAGGTAATCAGGTTCTAGACCATTTAGGGTTTTAAAGGCTACGACCTGCATTTTACATTGAGCCAGGAAGCAGAAAACCAGTTGGAACTGATACAAGACTGGAGTTCTATGCTCCACTTGTCAGGTGCCAGGCAACAGTTTGGCTGTCTCAATTTGGACCAGTTGATGTTTCCAAGCTTTTGTAAAAGGAGCTCCATGAAGAGAGCAGTATAGTGGTCTAGTCTGGAAAGTCTGCCATTTCTATGGATGCTGCAACTGATGAATCAGTCAAAGCTGATATAAGAGGTTCTTGGCACGCGTCACCACTGGGTCCAATCTTTGAGCAAGGTGCAACCAATTAAGATAATGCTGCACATCCTCCACCAAATGCCAGAACCGCTGACCAATACTGGTTAAGTTTAGGTTTCAGTTTGTTCACCCCCAGCAACTCCTGAACTGGTGCCAAATACTGACATATCTCTTCCACCATCTTCCTGGGATGGGATAACACTGGAAGCTCACAAGGGAGACATAACACTGATGACTTTTCCCTGCTATTTGCCCCCACCTGATAATCAAAGATATACTTTGAAAACTGAGGTTATGCCTGATCTTTAAGATCTGCATTGGTTGCCCAACTCTGTGTGCCATCATCTTGCACTGTTGGGCAAGTGAGTCCAACAGGCAAGGCTTTCTCCGTGGTGACACCACAGCTCTGAAATATCCTGCACAATAGCAGCTGCAGACTTAGCTTTCATTAATTTTCCTAACACCTTTAAAACATGGCATCTGCTCTTGGTTTCCTTTGTCTGTTAGAATTCTGATTTTGATTCCTGTGGCATGCAGAAGCTGTTCTAATCATACACAGGGAATGTGTGTTAAAGCCTATTTAAACCCACTATCCCCATTACCTTTCCACAAATGTTCAGCATTATTTCTAAAAGCATTTGTACTCCATGCAATTTCAGGGTAAGTATGATGATAATAATAGGTTAAATTCTTACTAAGGTTGTAATCCTAATCTAGTTTACCTGGGAGTAAACCCCAGTGAATTCCAGTAAGGAGTAAGCCCCAGTGAATTTGTTTCTGAGTAGACATGTTTAGGATTGCACTGTGAGTGAGTTAGCTCCAACTGATATTAATAAGGCTCAAGTTAAATCATCACAGTAAACTCATCTCATTGATTTCAGTGAGTTATCAGTTCAACTGACTTAGGACGCTTCCAACCCAATGTGTACAACTGACCCACTGACTATAATTCTGGCCTAAGAGCATTTGCATGGGAATTTGGAGAATTTGACTTCATGCCACTGGGACATAATCCTGCTCTCGAACTGGAAAGGGTCATAACATACCCCACAAGTGTCTCAGAAAAACCAGGGCATCTTGTCTTTCCCCATGAGAGCATGACAGCCATTTTGGTCACAATGATCTTGTTTGATTTCACACCGAGGTCTCACCCCCAAAAAGCACTCTTTTGGGGGGCCATGATCTCACACAGTTCCCCCAAATGTGCATTTTTTGTGCCGTGATAGAATTTCCCTGGGAAAAGCATGTATTTGGGGCTCTGTGACCTCATGCAGTTCACATGACTTGCACAGGATCACGGACAGTGTCCTGGTTTGGGGACTCAATATGTTGCAGGGTATGTCATTGCTCAGTGGGAGGGCATGTGCTTAGCATGCAGAACGTTCCAGGTTAAATCCCCGGCATCTACAGGTAGAACTTGTAATGTCTCTGGCCTGTAATCCTGGAGAGGTGCTACTAGTCAATGAATAGACAATACTGAGGCACAATTATTGTTAATTGAAAATCAGTGGTCTGACTCAATATAAAGCAGGTTCCTAGGTTCCTGTGAATTGGAGGGTGATTGCCTCCACTGAGGCCAAATCCCTGATCTCTCTCCCTCCCACCCCGCAGTCCCCATGTGATGGGCTGGAAAATGCAGCACAGAGGAAGGCAGACCTGCCAACACAAACCATTGCACTAAAATATTGGTGCTGCTTTATCTATCTAAAGGAGCATAATGGGGGAGATGTTCATTTAACATCTTTCTGCCTTACAAACGGCTTTTGCTTTTCACTAAATTGAAAGTGAAGTGCAATATATGTGACTGATTAGGCAGTGTAATACATTCTCGCTGCAAATTTGGATTAGGAATGATTATGGCTGAAATAAAATAGTTGAACAAGATTCTTTGTGCTATCTGTCTTTCTCCAACTTCCTAATGCAAGTCAGGGAAACTAATGAAAAGAAGCGGAGAGTTGGTGAGAGGGGGGAAAAGAAGCCAATTTGAGGGCCAAATGCTGGATGCAGACAAGGCAAAGTTTACTGACCTGGTCTAGGCTATATTTGAGAGCTAATTTATATTTTGGACAGGGGCACCATCAGTACCAAGCATACTTGGCTAACAGTCAGGGACAATGGGGGAGCTATAGTCTAACAAGATCTGGAGGGCTTCTGAGTGAAGTCATATAATGCAGTTTTGCAAATCTGCCTGCAGAGCAAATCTATACCATGGTTGCTTGGAGGAAGAGAGGATTGGGTGGGGAAGGGTGTCCATATACAGTGGTACCTCAGGTTACATACGCTTCAGGTTACATATGCTTCAGGTTACAGACTCCGCTAACCCAGAAATAGTACCTTGGGTTAAGACCTTTGCTTCAGGATGAGAACAGAAATCGTGCTTCGATGCGGCAGCAGCAGGAGGCACCATTAGCTAAAGTGGTGCTTCAGGTTAAGAACAGTTTCAGGTTAAGAACGGACCTTCGGAATGAATTAAGTACTTAACCCAAGGTACCACTGTACTCCCTTTCAGTATATTTGATCATAGGCACTCCAAGTTGTTGGTGTGAGGTGCTCATTCCCGTGAACTCAAAATCACATCCACAGCAAGAAATACCTTCAGTGTTGAGTCTGAAAGTATATATCTCACAATGCACAATGTTCATCGGGTTTTTAGGTGATTTCCCCTCTCCCTGCTCCAGTCTACTTACTAATTCAATTTCTTAATTCAAATTCTTGAACCATATTTGGACAGCCTGCAGCCAGAGACCCTGGACACCATGATTTTTGCCACAGGAGGGAGCTTCTGGACTGCAGCACTTAATACTGCAGTTGTGGGTGTCTGAAGCACCGATGGGAAACCTGTGGGTTTCCAGATGTTCATAGAAGCACAGAATTGTAGAGTTGGAAGGGATGCCAAGGGCCATCTAGGCCAACACCCTGCAATGCAGGAGTCTCAGTTGCAATGCAGTAATCTCACTGGCCATTGGCTAATGGGAGTTGAAATCCAAGAATATCTGGAGGTTCCCCATTTATGGCTTTTGCTCTAAACTCACATGACATACAGCAAAATCCTCTTAACATTTGGCAGGGTAGCACAGATAACCAAGCTACCCCAATTTGTACAAACGGGAGCCCAAAAGTATCAGTAAGCTTGGATTTAGATGCAAGCAGCAGTAGACCTAGAGGTAGGCAATTTTGGCTTGTGTGTGTGTGTGTCCAAAAATCACACCTCTCCACTGTTACTTGGAGTGGCTAGGAGCATGCGTAGCAGTCCACACACTCCTTGGGCCAATCGTCTGCAGCTCTGAGTGGCTGGGCAAGGCACGCAGGTCAGAATCTAGTCACCATTAGAAGTGTGAGCAGAGTGCCCAGCGGAGCTTGGAGGGAAGAAAGATGGAGAAAGTGGGTGAGAGTTGCAGGAGGGGGGAAAGGGGAGGAAGGAGGCAGAAGGGAAGGCAGGAAGACAGACAGACCAATGGAGGAGGAGGGGAGTTGGAGCAGAGCAGACCTGACCCCAGTGGCCACAGAAGAAGTCACTGACGAAGCGCAAAAGGTAACCAAAAGCAAACTTTTTGAGTTTCTGGTCCATGGTCTCTCCCGGCTTCTGGTCCAAATGCCCCCTCCACAGTTAGAAGAAAAAGCCTAAAGGGTGATACTGCTTCTTACCAACTCGGCAAAGGTGTGGTGATGCCCTGAGCCAATGGGATTCTACCTGGTCCCATAAAACTGCTGACCCTGCTCTGACTCCTCATTTTGAGCTTAGCAGATCAATTACCTGCCAGCTTTCAAACTCCAGACTGCCAGCCCTCACACACCCAAAGCGATTCATCTCCCCCTCATAAATCTCTAAGTAGAGTTGAATCGTGCTTTGTTATGCAATAACAGAAATGGGACAGGGCCTATGTAGGACAAGAATGGCACGTCAGGGAGAAATGAGTGATGAGAGAGCTGTGTTGGGTCCCAGAAATGGAAACGCATTGACTTAATGGAGTATAAATGGCTGACCTTGGAGAGACCCCGATAAGTTACTACTTACTAAATCATTAACTCCTCCTAAGCAGGAGAGTGTTTTAAAGCCAGTCGGCTGAACATGGTTACAGCTTGCACAATCAAAGAGCATTATATTCTGGATAAAGACAGCTTGGCAGTGCATGATACTTAAGAAGGCTACCAAGTAAATGTTCCTTAAGAATTATAATGAAAATTTTCAGAAAAACTACGAGCAAAGAAATAAGACACAGAAGGCTATTCTGATACAGCCCTGCCCTAGCTTTCTCTCTCAAATGCTAATTTGAATGAACTTTTTTTAAAAAAAGGAAGTATGAAGGCATCTTGCAGCATACAACCTTCCACTTGCACTCTAAAGTGGTAGAGCCCAGCAGTGGATACATCACAGGGGGCTGCTGGTTGTGTGCTCAGTTTCTGGCTGGAGACAGATGATAGTACTTTAACTTAAGAGAATTGGAAGTGGCATCGGTGGTGCATTCATTCATTTTTTATTGCTCTCTTCCTATCATCCATGGCAGAACACATTTTACAGGCTTCTGTAGTGCTTCAGACAAGCAAGCAAACAAACAATTGTGCAAATCTTGTTTCCTCTGTGAGACCAAGGGAATGTGTGTGAAGATAAGTAGATTAGGCCCCTTACCCCAGCCCATCCAGTGTATCATCTGGGATGCGGCCAAATGCACTGGCCAATCAGTGGCCAGTCAGATGAAGCTGGGAACCCCACAAGAAGGACCTGAAAGGCAACTCCTGTATTGTTCATCCCCAGCACTTAGTATTCAGAGTGAGACCGCCTTTGAATATGGATATTCATGGGTAAGAGGCATCAATAGCCCTGCACCATGTTTATTTTTTCAGTCCCTTTTTACAGCTGGTAGCCGTCACTGCATCAAGTGGCGATGAATGCTGTGGCTTTTTCATGCTCACCACCTCTATCATTTTGTCACCTAGCAACAGCCATTCCATCAAGATACCTGTTTCCATCCCAGCTTGTTATTAATGAACATTAACTTTAAGTACTTGGACCTGAGTTTGCTCCCCCCTCCCCAAAGGTGGATTTAGGGAAGTATGACTAGTTTGGGCACACTGGATGCTAAGCCTTGGGGGGAGGGTGACACCACAACTTGTGCCATAACTATGACATCCAACAGAAGGCAAGAGGTGGGAGGTGCTGGATTTTGGCACAGCACAGGGTGCTACTGAGATTTGATGCTCCAAGGTCCACCACTGGCCCCCTTTACTTTCCTTGTATTGCCTTTCTGATTGTAAGTTCCAAAGACAAGCAGTATCTTACTACTGATTTTTGTAAACTGCCCTGGGAGCTTTATTGTTTAAAGGGTCACATTTTTAAAAAAGCTTTAAATAAATAATAGGCTACCTTAAACTCTCTTGAAAGCAATTGCTTCTTAAGACTCATCATGAAAAAGCCTATTTACAATTTAGCGTCATCACTAGAGAAGGAATGGGGAACCTGTGGTCTTCCTTGATGCTAGAATCATAGTATTGCAGAATTGGAAGGGACCCAAGGGTCAACTAGTCCAACCCCCTGCAATGCAGGGATCTCAACTAAAGCATCCATGACATGGCCAGAGATGGCCACCCAACCTCTGTTTAAAAACCTCCAAGGAAGGAGAGTCCACAACCTCTCAGGGAAGACTGTTCCACTGTCAAATACCTCTTACTGTCAGAAAGTTTTTTCCATATGTTTAGTCAGAATCTCCTTTCTTGTAACCTGAAGCCATTGGTTCGAGTCCTACTCTCCAGAGCCTGAGAAAATAAGCTTGATCCCTCTTCCATTTGACAGCCTTCAAGATATTTGTAAATGGCTATCATATTTCCTCTCAATCTCCTCTTTTCCAGGCTAAACATACCCAGCTCCTTCAAGCACTCCTCGTAAGGCTTAGCTTCCAGAACCCTTGATCATCTTGATTGCCTTCCTCTGCACACGTTCCAGCTGTCAACATCCTTCTTAAATTGTGGTGCCCAGAACTGGACACAGTATTCCAGGTGTGGTCTGACCAAGGCAGAATAGAATGGTACTATTACTTCCCTTGATCTGGATACTATACTTCTGTTGAAGTATAGTGTTGTGGACTCCAACTCCCATATTGGCCATGTTGGTTGGGGGTGGATGGGAACTGTATGTTGATTTAAGCATAGCCTGTCGTGCCCAGCGGAAGGATGAGTAATACGTGCTACATACTCTATATTGCTTTATTTACAGTTCAAAGCTGGTATATTACAGAAAGACATCTTGCCTCTGCCGGAGCAGAGAAATGCATCCTCTCTCCTCAACAGCTCGGAGAGAATCACACAGTGAAAAACAGGAAACCAGTGTACGTCACATCCAGTCTCCCTTTCCCGTGAGAAACTCCAACAGTACAGACTGTGGAATGTAAACACCTGTCTCATGACAAGTAGATGCTGCTCAGTGAAGGAAATAGAAACCAACATCCTCCCCCTTTCTGTGAACATCACTGGGCAGCGTGTTCGTACAGTATCAGTACAAACCCAACTTCTGCACATAGGTACAGTGTTGATCCCTTGATACAATCTTGGACAATACATCAGCAGGAATTTCATTACCTGGCATATAGGACACCGTTACGAGTCCCTTCTGAATACATTCCCTAGCATGCTGCAACTTTAATTGCAAGTGCTTTGTGCTTTGCTTACAACTTTCAGACTTCAGCAAAGCCAAACATGCTTTGTTGTCCTGGTAAACCTGGATTGGACATTTGACAGGAATTTTCATATCTTTGCACAATTGTACTAACCATTCACAATCCTTAAGTGAATAAGACAGTGCATTCAGTTTAGCTTCACAAGTACTTAAGCTAACTGTTGTTTGCTTCTTGCATGACCAATCAAACAGACTCTGATTGTACATGTAGCAAACTCCAGACGTACTTTTCCTGTCTGTAGTGTCACTTCCAAAACTTGCATCTGCAAATATCTCAAGACCACCAGACTTCTGATTGTTAAATCTCAGTCTGTAATGCATAGTGCCTTTCAAATACCGCGCTATGCGTTTCAGAGCTTTCCAATCCTTGACACTAGGATTGTTGACTTGTCTGCTTAGCAAATTACAGCTAACAGCAATGTCTGGTCTTGAACATCTGGCAATGAAGTTTAGCTTGCCTAGCACACTCCTGTACAGTGTGGTGTCAGAAAATGCTTCTTCAGTGTCATCTACCTGATAACCTGTTGTCATCGGTGTGTCTACAGGGTTAGCATCCATCAGATTTAGTTTGCTTAACACATCAGCAATTTTCCGTGACTGGTGTACTAGAATGTTACCATCTTGATCTCTCTCTATTTCCAGAGATAGGTAGTTGTTTACCTCACCAAGATCTTTCATGTCAAAGTGCTCTTTCAGTTGAGCTAGGGCGTTATTGTACATTGCGACATCTTTCCAAAAGAATAATAAATCATCAACATAAAACAAACAGTACAGTTTCTTTTGCCCCTCCTCTTTGACAAATACACATGGATCAGCTTTCCCTTGCTGAAAACCTAGAGAAAACAATACTTCAGTGAGTTTTGTGTGCCAACACCGTGCACTTTGTTTGAGACCATAAAGGGATTTCTTCAGAGCACAAACAAATCCCTGTTTTACCTGTACGCCATCAGGTGGAAGCATATAAAGTGATTCATCTAGAGATCCGTACAGAAAAGCTGTATTAATATCATGGTGACTAATGTGTAGATTTTCCTCTGCAGCTAGCTTGAGCATAAGCCTAATGCTTTCATATCTCACTGTGGGTGAATAGGTCTCGTGATAGTCTTCACCTGGTACCTGTGCAAAACCTCTGGCTACCAATCTGGCTTTGTGTCTGACTATCTTGCCATTTTGATCTGTCTTCGCTTTGAAGACCCATTTGCTTCCAAGCAGTTTCATTCCTGGAACTACTGGAACTAGCTCCCATGTTTTGTTCCTTTCTAAGGAATCAAGCTCAGCCTTCATGGCATTTAACCATGGCTCAGCTTCCTTTGAATCCAAACCCTGGATTTCTTGGAAACTTGAAGGTTCAAATACCTTCTTGGAGCTTTTAACAGCTGTTACTGCTATCTTAGCAAACTCATCAGCAAATCTCTTTGGAGGTTTGCCTTTTGTGGCTCTCTGTGACCTACGAATTAGCCTTAAGTCTTCAACACTCTCCTCTTCCTTCTTAGGAGAAAAACGACCTATTGTGAACAATGGTTCCTCCAATTCTTGATCAGAGCTTTCAGAGGGTCGCATAGAGGCTTTCGCACTCTTGAAATCCTCTGAATCACCCGATTCAGTTTCAGATTCAGACTCAGAACCTTCATCAGTGGGTGTGGGCTGTTGTGGTTGCTTTTGACTATCTTCAGTCTCATCACCGTCATCAGGATAACATTGGAAAATTCCCACATTCTCCCCCCACTTTGCATTGTACTCAACACTTCTCGTGAGCTTAATTGTCTTAGAGTCAGTCATCATTATTCTGTAAGACCCTTTCTGATAACCTAGAAAGATACCATGCAATCCACGCTTGTCTAACTTGGAGTTTTGTGGTGAGCGAACCCACATGTCAGAACCAAAAATCTTCATGTGTTTGATGTATGGCTTCTTGCCAAACATCTTCTCATAGGAGTACAACCAATCGCTGAAGATAACCTGCGATTGTAACTGTAAACAAAACACGAGAGAGATTCTGCCCAATAACTCTCTGGAAGATTGGCATCATGCAGCAAGGTTTTTAACCCTTGAAGCAAAGTCTGATTTGCCCGTTCCGCAAGTCCATTCTGCCATGGCGAGCGAGGACTAGACAAATCGTGTTGAATTCCTTTCTCAGTCAGAAAAGCTTCAAACTGCTGAGAAGTGAATTCCCCCCCGCGATCACTGAAAAGAGTCTTTATCTTCTTACCATGCACATTTTCCAACCAAGCACAGAATTCCTTGAACCTAGGAAAAGCCTCCGATTTCTGCTTGAGATTGTACACAAAAATATATCTAGAAAATGCATCAATGAGAACCATGAAGTATCTATTTCCACCCAAAGAGGGCGTTAGTGGTCCAACCAAATCAGCATGAACAACCTGGTATGGTTCTGTAGCTTTCCTACTAGACACCTTACCTTTCGCAGCCATTTCACCTTGTTTGCTGCGCATGCTTTGCACTTCATGTGGTACCTGCAGGGTTTAATAGTCATACCTTCAACCAAGGCAGGCATTTTAGATACTGCCTCAAAATGCAAATGACCAAATTTTCGATGAAAATCGTGAATACATTCTGCATGCAAACTTTTGTTAGAACCTGCAATGCAACAAGTGTCATCCTGCACCACATCATCATAATACAAAACAAACAAATGATCAACATATTCTGCATGCAATACATAATCATTTTTCTTTGTGATGATGCACTTCTTGTTCTTGAAGGAAACGTCAATGTTCCGCTCATTCAGCTGTCCAACGCTGAGCAGATTATGTTTGGCGTCTGGCACGTAAAGCACATTCTGTATCGATAAGTCCAAACTGTGAAGAACAACAGTTCCGTAGCCTTTACTGGGAATAGTGTGGTCATCCGCCTGGTGAATCGCACCTTCCTGCGGTGTAAAAGACACAAACAGTTTCTTATCGTTACACATGTGGTGGGTGGCCGCTGAATCAACAACGAAGAAAGATCTAGACGTCTTCTGGACCTCTGCAACCTTTGGAGTGAAGCGTGAAACCATAGCCTTGTGCTGCGTTGTCCTAGACACCGGACCTTTGCCTTTGCCTCGGCCTTTTCCGCGCGATGAGCTTTCGCTGCGCTGCTCTGTCTTGGCCCTGGGATGTATGCATTCCCTCTTCATATGGCCTAGACGTCCACTCGAGTAGCATTTCACTGCCTTCAAAGCTTTGGCGCCATCTGGTGGTTCCACTGCACTATGGGATGACGTCTGTGAAGACTCCCCCTTGCCCATGCAGCTAGCACCCCGGCGATCTGCTTCATTTAAAATCACGGCAGTAACAAAGTCCACTGTCAGCTGAGCAGTTGGTTGCACAGCAATCTGGGTTGCAACAGACTCCCAACCTGAACCCAAAGATTGTAGTATCATGAAAGAATACACAGCCTCTGGAAAGTTGAGTCCTCTCTGTTGCAGCTCATGTCTCAGATTTTGCATCTGCATCAGATGTAAACGCACATCTCCACCTTCAGCAAGAGCCATATTATGCAGCTTGTTAAAATAAAACATAGTGGATCCAGCTTCTGTCCTTAAGTGAGCCTCTCTCAGAGCGTCCCAAATTTCTCTGGCTGAGGTCTTATCACGCAATAGACAGAGCTCTTCTGGGGATACTATCAATGTAAGAGTTCCCCTTGCTTTGGAATCCTTAGCTTCCCATGCATCTGTAACTGGAACTGGGGGTTTCTGTAATCACCTCAAACAAACCCTCTTTCCGCAGAATTGCCTCTGCATACTGAACCCAGTCGCTGTAATTTTTCTTGTTGAGCTTAGGAATCCCACAAGCATCCTGAAGGGCCATCATGACTCTGGCATTAGCCTTCAGCGTCATATGCTGCTTTAATTCTTGCTGCGTCACTGCTGCAGCTGCTTTATTACAAAAGCACACTTAAAAGTTACTTTCGATTTCCCCAGCATAGTGACTTGTGCCTGGGAGCCTTTTGCCTATTCCCGGCAAAACCGGCTTTAAAAGTTCAAAGTCCAGCCATAAAGCCATTAACTTGAAGCTGGCAGGCTGCCCGGAGCAGTAGCACATACCTCATCAATCACTTCTACGCGCAGAGCAGATTCCTTTCCGATCCGTCCCTCTGCATTCCGATCCTTTGCCGGCACTCCGATTCGACTCCTGGAGCCCATAACCACGTGTTGATTTAAGCATAGCCTGTCGTGCCCAGCGGAAGGATGAGTAATACGTGCTACATACTCTATATTGCTTTATTTACAGTTCAAAGCTGGTATATTACAGAAAGACATCTTGCCTCTGCCGGAGCAGAGAAATGCATCCTCTCTCCTCAACAGCTCGGAGAGAATCACACAGTGAAAAACAGGAAACCAGTGTACGTCACATCCAGTCTCCCTTTCCCGTGAGAAACTCCAACAGTACAGACTGTGGAATGTAAACACCTGTCTCATGACAAGTAGATGCTGCTCAGTGAAGGAAATAGAAACCAACACTGTAGTCCAAAGAAATCTGGAATGCACCATGTTGACTATCCTGTCTCTATATTAACAGCCATGGGTTTTCAGTAGCACAGAGATGGAAAGCTTCCTCATGGGACAATGCCTTGATGGGTAGAGGCAGCTGCCACACAGAAAGTAAAAGCAGTCTCCCCATTACAGCCTGTAGCATCTGAATCACAGATCTCTCCTGCAGAGCTGACACAGAATTTGCATTCTGGTGATTCCACAGTCTCTCAGCCAGTAGAAATGATGATGTTATAATTGGCCAGAAGTAGCTGTAGCTCGTGTGCATCCACACATGGGTATTATACCACATCTCCCCCCTTTGCAAGTTCTTTTGTCTCTTTCCTGTGATATCTTTAGTGCTTCTAATAGCCCTTCGTTAGTGCCACATAATGAACTTTTACTGGCTGAACAGCAATGGTGGCCCATCTTGGGGGTGGGGGAAAGAGAGAGGAATTATGGACTTGGATTACGGTTAAGCAGACTGTGACTGTAACCTTCAGAAATGAAGGTCAGCGCTGGCATGACGGGGATGTGATTTGCTTCCATTTATGCCTTGATAGGAAAGTGATGGAGGGTGTAATTGCTGCCATGGTATTACTTGCTGCCAGTTGCTGGTGTCCTGTGTCCAGGAAACTGAACACAGGCAAAGGAACTAAGAGCAAAGGATTTTCCCTACCTGGCTCTTTTAACAGAAGCAATTGCAGAAATCATTTTAAAAAGTAGCACTAACAGGGGCTTCAGGGCTAACACAGACTAGGTCATGGCAGAAAGAGATCTGGGACATGGCCTCCAAGTACTCTGGAGGTCAAGGAGATGCAATGATCAGAGTTGTGTGTGAGTGGAGTTCCATGCATGGCTGAAGGAAACAGAGCACTGTGCACAGCCTATCTTCAAAGCAGCCAAGGGAATGCTGTTAGGTCCCAGCCAAACCCACTAATACTGTTGCACATTTGCTTTCCATGGTGTCAAAGGCATCTCCTGTTTTTAGCCATTTTCAGCATTTGCTGCAAACAGGTTTATGCTAGTTTCAATGATTTTGTGGCACCATCTCCCTTTGACCGTAGCCTGATGTACCACATTGGCATTCAACCCTATTGACTGCGGCAACCCATGTGACCCTGTGTAAGATATTTCATAGACTTGGAAGGGACCTGAGGGTTATCTAGTCCAACAGATGCCTATCCAACCTCTTCTTATAAACCTCCAAGGAAGAAGAGTCCACAATCTCCCAAGGGAGACTGTTCCACTGTCAAACAGCTCTTACTGTCAGAAAGTTTTTTTCCTGTATGTTTAGTCAGAATCTCCTTTCTTGTAACTTGAAGCCATTGGTACAAGCCCTACACTCCAGAAAAGGAGAAAACAAGCTTGTTCCCTGTTCCATTTGCTCAGCAGCTGATGATGGTGCCTCATTCTGGGCTGACAGTCAGGCAGAAGACTGTCCTCATGACCTCACAGGACACAGGATGCACACCAGTGCATTCTGGAATCCCATTGCCCCACTTGCCTTTTTGGCATCTGCCTATCTCAGGAGACAATAGAGGAGTGCACCTTTGGGGGTTAAGTCAAACTGTTGGAGAGTTACAGCGCCTGCTGTGAGACCAATATGGGAGAGACATGTGTTGTTGCAGCTTGCCTAAGCAGTAAAGGTAAAGGGACCCCTGACCGTTAGGTCCAGTCGTGGACAGCTCTGGGGTTGCGGTGCTCATCTCGCTTTACTGGCCGAGGGAGCTGGTGTACAGCTTCCAGGTCATGTGGCCAGCATGACTAAGCTGCTTCTGGTGAACCAGAGCAGTGCACAGAAATGCCGTTTACCTTCCCGCCAGAGCGGTACCTATTTATCTACTTGCACTTTGATGTGCTTTCGAACTGCTAGGTTGGCAGGAGCAGGGACTGAGCAATGGGAGCTCACCCCGTCGCAGGGATTCAAACTGCCAACCTTCTGATTGGCAAGCCCTACGCTCTATGATTTAACCCACAGTGCCACCCGTGTCCCTAAGTAGTAGAGATTATCAAAAAGATGAGCAAGGTGACACAAACACGTGATTCAGAGGGTGCAATATTCTGTTAAATCTGTAGTCAGCTGTTCCTAAGTCAACCAGACATTTGCTAAGAGGAATCAGTGCTCCTCCCTAAAGCTTAATAGCAGTGCAGATACTTGAGTCTGGAGGAGAGTTTATGCAGAGAGCAAGACACCTAGGACAGATCTGTCAGTTTCAGCTATTCTCAGTTTATCATCTTTCCAATCTTAGATGAAGTTCTCTGCATTTATACATCAGTTTGTGCATTTTTCAAAAAAAACTCTAATAAAAAAATTAATCTGCTTTTTAATGTACATTTCCCCTAATAAAGTCATTTTTGCAAGCAATTTCCCCTAATATAACACATATTATTTCCACTAATATATGCATTTTAATGCACACTTTCCCTAAAGGCAGATCTAGGGGGCCGGGCACAGAGCTTCAGGGACGCTGCATGCATGACTCCCAATGGAAGGCGAGAGGTAGTGGCGTGCATCAGATTTTGGTGTTACACAGGGCACCACTGAAATTTGTCCAACACTGCTTTCCCCTGATATACACATTTTTGTACATAATACTTGATTGGAAAACTGCATTGCAAGATTTGAAGAAACATGAATTTCATGTGCTCGCTGCATTATAATTTGCATATTGTTTTGAAAACAGAGGATCAGATAGGTAAGGGTAAAGGGACCCCTGACCATTAGGTCCAGTCGTAACCGACTCTGGGATTGCGGTGCTCATCTCGCTTTATTGGCCAAGGGAGCCGGCATACAGCTTCCAGGTCATGTGGCCAGCATGACTAAGCCACTTCTGACGATTCAGAGCAGCACACAGAAACACTGTTTACCTTCCCGCCGGAGCGGTACCTATTTATCTACTTGCACTTTGACGTGCTTTCCAACTGCTAGGTTGGCAGGAGCAGGGACCGAGCAACGGGAGCTCACCCCGTCGCGGGGATTCGAACCGCCGACCTTCTGATCGGCAAGTCCTAGGCTCTGTGGTTTAACCCACAGCGCCACCTGAGGATCAGATAGTTTCATGTAAAAATGTGACTCAAACCAAATTTCTCCCCCATTCCTAAAGACAACAAGGGGTGCTTTAACCTTAACCCCCACCATCACATCGGAGGCTAAGGTGGAAGTGTGATAGAGTGGGCATGGCAGACTCTCCCCACCAGAGAGTCACACTGCTCTCTGTCTGACATGGCAATGTTACAGACACAATCTGATTAAGTGGCAGTGTGAGCAAATGAGCCTGAGGACCAACAGCTTCAAAGCAATAGGAATGTTTGCTGAAGTG